TTGGGCGGGCACATGCAGCAAGCCTCGCCACCTGCTCCCAGCAGCCCCCCCCCCCGCCTTTCCTGCCTGCTGGCCGACCCAGCAGAGTGCTGCCGTGAGTTCCACCTTGGCCTCCTGCACACAGGCATACAGTGTGTGGGAGTTCGGGCCACCCCCGAATTTTTCCAAGGGGGACTGCGCCTCCCCCAGGCAATCAGTGCCAGGCACTGAAGATGGAGGAGGAAACAGACAAGTGTGCAGGCTTGCCTATTGGCAAAGTGGAGCAAAAGCTCCTCCCTTCCACTGCAGAGGTGGCGGGGAGAAAAGAGAGTGCAAGCGCGGGAAAAGAGACACTGGGGCAGCATGCAACCACCTAGCTCGTGACTCAGCGAGCTAAGGAGAGTGAAGGAGGGATGGACGGACCCGGCTGCAGCAGCAGCAGCAGCAGAAGGAGGTGAGCCAGGAGCCAGAAGACCAACCGAGGTACACATGCAAGTCCGTTACCCTTCCCTTGGCCAGGTGGCTGGGCCAGGAGGCTGCTGGGGGGGCCACAAGCTGTGCCGAGGAGAGAGACAGAGCCACCAGGCCTGGCGCAGCAAGCCAAAGCCAAACCAGGTGGGCACTGCTGTTGCTTGCCACCCTTCCTCTCCCTCCCCCCCGTCTGGCTCTTGCGCTACCTCACCTACTGGTCCCTGGAGACAAGGCGAGCTGGTAGTGCTGGGCAAGCTGTCTCGCTCCACCTGACCGCAGCTGCCCCTGAGCATGCAAGTGGGTGGCTGGGCTCCAGAGCTGTTGGGGGCTGTGGGCATCTTGCTAGGGAGGTCAGGGTAGTGGGGTGGGGTGGGCTTGTGGGGTGGGGGTTTTCCCCAGGCCTGGGCCATGCTTTGAAGCCGTCGGAGTGGCTGTGGCCCCCTCTCTGGAAAGGTTGGAGGTGGGGATGTGTGGCAGAGCGGGGCGAATAAGCTGTCCTTCAAAAGGGGAAGTTTTGCCAGCCTGAGGATTCGGTTACACGCCCCCTTCCTCTGCTCCCGTCGGGAGTTTCAGAATGCCCTTACCCTCCTCTGTGGGACGGACTGGAAAAGAGAGAGACAGAGGTTTTTTTCTGGAAACCCTGGGAGAGAGAACAACAACAACAACATCTCGGCGAAGCTCTGAACGGAGGAGATTTTGGGTTGCTCCCTGAAGCAGCAGCGAGGCGGCTTTTAGAGGGAGTCGATCCCTCACCTATTGTGGGGCGAGTCTCACCTACCTGGATCAAGCAGTACAACAAAATGGTCAACATGGCAGTCGCCTCGGAGAGGTTTACTGTTTTCTGGCCAGCTTCTTCTCTTGTGAGTTTGCCCTGAAGTAATTCTGCCCATTCTTTGTAACTTGCCTTCTATTTACTTACAGGGCTGCCAACTTCAATTATGGGAATTCCTGGAGATTTTGTGGGAAGAGCCTGGGGAGGGCAGGCCATGGACCTCAGCAGGGCATAATGCCACAGAATATACCTTCGAAAGCAGCCATTTCCTCCAAGTGAACTGATCTCTGTGCTCTGGAGATACGTTGACATTCAGAGAGCTCTTCAGGCACCACCTGGAGGTTGGCAACCCTGTTTACTTGCAATAATATTGTTTAATAAGGATTTTCTTATTCATGTTGCCTGGATACCCAACACCTCAGATTCAACCATGCCTCTTCTTGTCCATTCTGCCTGGACACTTCACACCTCATATTCAGCCATCAGAGTATGCCCTAACTAAAGTAGGGCTTGCCTGGGGGGCAGAGAGGATGCTCTAGGCTATCTCCAGTAAAGGCATACAACCAGAGCAGTTGGAGGCAATTAAGGTCCTTTCCTACTGCCCCGACCCGGATATCCCAGGCAAGCCTGATCTTGTCAGATCTCAGAAACTAAGCAGGGTCGATTCTGGCAAGTACTTGGATGGGAGAGCTCCTTGGAATACCAGAGGTGGGAGGCGGGGGCACGCTTTATTCAGCCACCTCTCTGAATATCCTCCAGGCCCCCAGTAGGGGTCACTCATCAGTAATCACCATGACTTCCAGGTGCGCATGCGCACACACACATGCACACGGACATAGGAAAAATCCACACCTGATGGGTGCATGTGGGGTCAGAGGAAAAGAGGGTGTGTGTGATTTGAGAGAGATTCCTGTAAGGGATATCCTGTCTCAGGCAAAGCTCGTCAGCCTTCCACACCAAACCATGACCCTGGCACATTCATCATTCTTAATCAGGTCCCTTTAAGCAAGAGGCTAGTGCTACTACAGATTCTACCACCCTGATGGGCACAGGGCTGTCAGTAGAAAGACACAGATTCCAAGGTGTTACTGATATAAATAAAAAAGGTTTATTGGAAGGCACTGTGGTACTATCTACTACAAAAGCAACCTCGTGTTATATGAACAAATGGTAAGAGGCATGGATACAGAAAGCCCAGAAAGGTGTTTATATGGGGCACATCTAAACCGGTCCCCCATAGAAGACATAGTAAGCAGTGGAAACATGAATCATAACCCATCATACATTGCAAATTATCTTGAAAAGTCACAGAAAGGATAGCAAGCTTAAGGCCTAATAGCCACTCTAAATACTGGTTGCCACCCTACCACCCTCCTGCCCTTCTAATTAAAGCTTGGTTCCCTAGCAAAGTAAAGCAGTTTCATAGCTGCCTGTCCAAGGATCCAGAAAGGTTGATAGGACAGGGTCTCCCACCAGGCTTGTGGGCCTCTCAGCCATCAGACTCTTGAGGACTTAGGAGGAGGGGAGGCCGAGGGGAGGAAATGCCATTGGGTGCTTGGAGACACAGGAAAACATCCTCAATACAGGTGGGCCCTCCAGAGTAAAGGCAGCTGCCCATCTGCCTTCCTCTTGGATGTTTTCTACATTTCCGTTGGTTGGAGGTAGTATCACGGTGGTGTGGAGAGAGGCGTCGACTTTATTTTTCATTCATTTATTGCTTACTTGGGGACCCAGGGGTGCCAAATTCTCCATAATTTCTTCCGGTAGCCCAAAACAATATCCCAGTTGGCGCTCTTCTTGTGAGTCATGAGATCGGCCACCTCCTTTGTCGGAGACGCGGGAGCCCACCCATTTCCAGGGGACTTTATCTTCTCTCAGCAAACAGCAGTGCCTTGTCTGAGGTCTGAGGAAAGGCATCCCTGGCCCCAGTCACACAGCAAAGTTGCCGCGGGAGAGGCACGGATGGTAGGCGGATTATCCGGGCGAGATCACACCCCAACATCTGGGAAGTGGAGCGCACCCGTGGCTTACCACCGGCAATGCAAGTTAAAAAAAACTAGTACCTCTAAGGTACTAGTAAACGTTTGCCACGGGCTGCCTCCAGACGCCCGTGGTGTGCTGGCGCCGAGGGAAGGACCCGTGGAGTGCCACCGGTATGTCTGATCGCGTAATTGTGCATTAAACTGCGCCGGGGCAATTAGCCACGCCTCCCCCCCCCCCCCGCGCTATCCCCCCCATCTCACGACCAGGGCCCCTGTAAAGCAAGATCATGCTGGCCAGCCATTCTGGGATCCCCCTTACATGTGGGAGCCCATCCTGTACAATCTCATTCCTTGGAATTGTCATTTCTGGTGCAAGAGGAACCTACAGATTTCTCTTGGCATCGCAGTTGCTGCTTAGCTGTTTAACATCTACAAAAAATTTTCAGAATACAAGCAAGAAACAGGTAGCATTAGTGCAAAAACAGCCTCATTTGTTAATGGTCTTTAAACAGAATGTCCTGAAAACAGCACAACATAATCATGAAGCTAAGAAACCTTTGTACCGATTTCCCACAGCTGCTGCTCTGCACTCGCTCCTCTCTTTCCCCGATGGTACGTGTCAAGTTCCCACGATGTGCTGTGCGGCAGCATTTTGCCCTGCAGCTTTCCCCGATTTTCCCCAAATCTACTAAATCCTCAAAATGCCGCCACGCAGCACATCGTGGGAAATTGACATGTACAATCGGGGCAAAGAGAGGAGCGCGCGCAGAGCAGCGGCTGTGGGAAATCGGTCATGGTGTTTTTCTCCAAAAACTAAATCCACACTTTTTTGGTATGAGTACACAAACTTTTTTGACATAAGTACACAAACCCAGTTGGAGAGGACTCTAGCACCTTTAAGGGCTACATATAAACGAAACCTGCTAGATTAGAATGCGAAGCAGAGTTTAAGGAAACTCTGTTTCCCTTAAAGGTACAAGATTGCTCCCTGACTCAGGTCAGATCTGGCAGCTCTTCACAAGAGTCCCTTTAAGCAAACAGGAGCGGGTAGGCCTTCCTTAGAGGGAAGTGAAGAATATTATTTGCTCTGAAACGTGTGTCTTTCCTTTGCTCGAGCCACATGGGAATTGAAGTTCAATTGCAGAATCATCAGAAGGGACTTCACTCAGCAACTTTTGCCAGAACGCTCTCGGCATCTTCCACTGCATCTTGGAGGAAGCCCTGCAGCATGTAATATGTGGTGGCAAAAGAATTAACTCCACCAACTAGAGAGCCGAGGACAGGTACGAAATCGGCAACTTCTTCCAGCACCATTGCAGAGCCACATAGCAGGGACTTGGTTGTGAGAGACTTCACAAATTCCGGGTTGATCTGGTTGGCCATCGGAGTCTTTTTAATAGCAGATTTCAGTACGCCAACAGGTTTGCCAACCCTCTTGGCGAGGTTACAGAGGGACTCTTCATCTAAGCCAAAGTTCCTGCAGAACTCTTTCATTGTGCTCACCAAGAGGGCAATATCAAAAATAAGAGAGAGACCTGGGATAGGAATCGCCCCAACACCACAAGACACAACGGCTTTTTTCCAGATGACAGCCTCCATAGCAGCCCTTTTCTCTTCCAGGTGTTCTCTTGAGAAAGCCGGCATCGCCATGATAAGAAGAGGCCTCTTGAGATCATTCAGGTCACCTGCTAGGGTCTTCTGCAGGAGAGGAAAGTCAAACATATTCAAATGCCAGCTGGATATGAGAAAAACCCTTGGATCGACCGCTCCTTCTTCTCTCAAATTGGAAAGGCAGTATTTTCTTATCTCTTCCAAGGTCTGTGTCTCACTAAAGTTCGGCTTCCTTCTCTCAGCATCCATAGCCTGATCCACTTTGGTGCGAACAAAGTAAAACCGCTTCTTCATCTTTTGAATTTCTGAGGCCAGCATTGCATCATTCACGGTGAAGCGTTCTGAGGCGACGATGATGAAGAAGTCATACCTGCTAAAATTTACCTTCTCTAGGTATTCTCTTGGTTTGAATTCACGTGTCCCAATTCCTGGTAGATCCCATAAGGTTAGTTCTGGGAATTTAGGATGGGGATACCTCTCTGCAAGCATAGTAGTCTGCTTTACCCCTATTTTAGCTGCGCCTTCTTCATAATCTGGGATATTCCGAAAGGCATTCACGAGGGATGATTTACCGGCCCCTGAAACCCCTGTGAAAGCAATATCAAGTCTTGTGTTCTTTAATAATTTTAACTCTTTCTCAGCATTAGCTAACACCTCTTCGAGATTTACTTGTCTCAACGCGGCCTTCATCCCCTCAAGACCCTTTTCTATGGATTGTTTCGAGTTGGCGCCAGCCATAGCTGCTCTTCGGGGTGGTTCAGTTGATCTGAATAAGAACAGAAGGATAATGTTTATTACCTCATGTTGGATGACAGTTAAATGGACATTTTCACTTGACATTCTAGCTTTAATTGTGTGGGGAAAGTGTCTTTGTTTTTTTTAATGAAAATAAAGCGTAAAAAAAGTGTCTTTGTTTTTTTAAAAAAGCATCCCTCCACCGTTTTTTATATGCCTGTATTATAAGGTGGTGTGTAATAAGATCATCAGCCCGTTGACTGAAGAAATTCCGGGCCTTTCTGAAAAAGCTAGATTCGAGTTTCTTCTATCTGACAGAAATCCCAAGATCACCTACCAAGTAGTCAGTTTCTGTATGGCGATACTCGGATTACGGCAATTCTATGGTAGTTAGGTAATTATGGGAGTTAGACAGTAGATTAAATTTTAATTCGCTTTTAATGTTTTATTGATGTATTTTAAAATTTTGGAATATTGTCAAGGTGCCAGTTTGGTGTAGTGGTTAAGTGTGCGGACTCCAATCTGGGAGAACCGGGTTTGATCTCCTCCTCCTCCTCCTCCTCTTCTTCTTCTTCTTCTTCTTCGACTGGTCTAAGGACCATGACAATAAACTGAACTGAACTGATCCGCACTCGATGCATTTGATTCTCATGATGGCAAGAGGGGATGGTAGTATTTAAAAAGAAAACACATTGCAAGTTTTTGGTTCCCTTCGGCTTTCCCTTCAATCATCCAAAAGTATTGGGCCAATGTGAATTTCATGGCTGAGTGGCAACTGGAACGTAGGTCTTCCTTATTGCAATCCAGCATCCTAACCATTTCGCCACACAGCTTGCTCTCCCTAGCTTATTTATTACTGGCTGGGTCTATGTCCAAAAGACTGCCGCAGACTGTGGGTTTTGGCTACAGCATTTCTTATAGGTTTGTTTTCTTTTCCCATTGGTGACAGGTTAAGTACATTTTTCCAACGCCTATCTATCTAGGGGTGACCTCAGCATAACCCTCAGACTATCATCCTAGGCCATCATTTAGTTAACTTGGGTAAGTGTTCACTTTATTTTGTCAGTGTTTCAGATGCCACTAGCTTTCTGTTTATTTTTCACTGATATGCTTCCTTCTGGCATGCTTAGAAGAAGAAGAGGAGGAGGAGATTGGATTTATACTCCACCCTTCACTCGGAGTCTCAGAGCAGCTTACAAACTCCTTTCCCTTCCCCTCCCCACAGCAGACACCTTGTGAGGTAGGCAGGGCTAAGAGAGCTCTGAGAGAACTCCCCTTGAGGGAACAGCTCTGACAGAACTATGGCTTGCCCAAGGTCACCCAGCGGCTGCAAGTGGAGGAGTGGGGAATCGAACCCAGTTCTCCCAGATTAGAGTCCGCGCACTTAACCACTACACCAAACTGGCTCTAATTACTGCTGTACAATACATCTCCATGTACACATTACATAGTGCTCATGCTTGCTGGGGAGCCACACAAGGCCTTTGCATCACATGCACGAAAGGAGTTTTGTGCCTCCCAAATGCACACCGGCTCATTTCTTTTTGTGATCACACCACACAGGGATAAGTGAACATCATCTCCCCCTCTCCCTGGCTGCTGTGTTCATTGTCCTCAATCTGACCCATGGAGTTGCTTTTGGCCCCACTGTGACACTTACATGTACACATGCACCTCATAGGATTTTTAATGAGCCAATAGCAGCTCCATGATGTGCTTTGGGGGGGGGGGGGCAACTGCAGAAGGGCTTCTGGAGTTCTGGCCGTGCTGGGGGACCTCCTGATGGCACCTGGTATTTTTGGCCACTGTAGTGTTATACAGAGAAATTGCTGCAAAGTGCACACAGTAGTGAAATTAGATTCTGGTACTGATGAATTTCATGATGTTTTTAATCTTTGTATTCAACGGGTGAACAGACAAGACAACAAACTTCTCGAGTTATTGCTCGTTTCGAAGTCTCTTTCTCAAAGGAGTCTCAATTCTACATCCATGTGCAATAGAGTCAACACTGGAATCTTGAATCAAAAAGTCTTCTTCCAAAAGCTATATAGGTACAGACGTAACATTTCAAATGGACTACCCTTCCCTTCAAGGGAGTGCTTGCCGAGGCTCCCTGCAGCCAGGCTTTTTTGCGCCCTAGGCAAGGCTAACTACCTGCACCCCCCCCACACACACACACTGCTAGCCAATTTTTAAAAACAGATGAATTTTAGGGAAAATTAAAAGCACAACATGTTAAGTTGCTAATTTTTTTAAAAAAAAAATGGTGAGAATAAGTAAAATGGCAGCCTTTGGTTTTCTTTCTCCAACGGAAAACAGTTTTAGCACACAACTCACCCATCATTTTGAATAACCCTGTGAATTGTGATGTCAAAGATTAAGGCTCTTGAATGTTTCCATTTCGGGTACATTAGAATCTCATTTTGTGTGCCCTTTTCCTTTGCAAATTTTGTCCCTGATTCCTTCCGTTCAAGTGCTGATGCTTCAGTGTGTTCAACTGATATAACTGCCAAACCAAATAGTCTCTTTTGCAGCAGTAGTTCTCCTTCAGTTTTCTCAGTTTTGTGATTCTTGATGTCAGGTTTGTGTCCATTTACCCTTTGGTGTAGTGTTTGACCTGTTTGTCCTATGCAGAGAACTGCAATTTACACATCCTTCATAGGGATGTGCAAAAAAAATAAAATTCGGCCACCAGCAGAAAGACTCCCGCATGTCAATTACCACAGTTCGAGCCCATTCGGGAGTCTTTAGGCCAGCAGAATGTCAATTTCGGCCCCATTATATCCTATGGGCCATTGAAGTCAATGACGAAAACATAGGGTATATTCTGGGGGCTGGAGGGGAGGGGGTTTGAAGGAGAGGCTCCAAACTCATAGGGTAGCTGCTGGAGCCTCTCCCCAATATATCCATCAGGTTCCAATAACATTGGACCAGGGGGTCCAATTCTACGGGCCCCGAAGCAGGTTGCCCCCATCCTCTCCATTGTTCTCTATAGTGGGAAAACAAGTTACTTTTTTCCCACCATAGAAAACAAAGGAGGTGATGGGGGCAACCCGCTTTGGGGCCCGTAGAATTGGACCCCCTGGTCCAATGTTATTGGGACCTGATGGATATATTGGGGAGAGGCTCCGGCAGCTACCCTGCAAGTTTGGAGCCTCTCCCTCAAACCCCCTCCCATCCAGCCCCCACAATATACCCTATGTTTTTGCCATTGACTTCAATGGCCCATAGGATATCATGAGGTTGAATTGCTGCCAAAATTCGGCAGCAATTCGGCAGCAAGCCGATTCAGATCAGAGAATCTGAATCGGCCTGCAGCAGCCCAAAAGAGAGCCGAATGGGTCATTTCCGGGAGCCCATCCCTAATCCTACTGTATTGTCATCCCAGTCTTGCTGTTTTTATTGCTCAGTTACTTATTCATCTTGACTCTAATAATCTCTTCCTGACAACCAGTTCCCCCTACCTGCATGTAATATTTGAGGAAATCTGTTTCAGTGTATGTGAAGAAGTGTGCACATGCTAAGAACATAAGCCAATGTTGGATCAGGCCAATAGCCCATTCAGTCCAACACTCTGTGTCACACAGTGGCCAAAAAGACCAGGGACCATCAGGAGATCCAGCAGTGGGGCCAGGACACTAGAAGCCCTCCCACTGCCCCCCCCCAAGCATCAAGAATACAGAGCATTACTTGCCCCAGACCAAGAGTTCCTATCTATACCTTGTGGCTAATAGCCACTGATGGACCATATGTTCCTCCAATTCCCTCTTGAAGCCGTCCATGCCTGTAGCCGCCGCCACCTCCTGTGGCAGTGAATTCCATGCGTTAACCACTCTTTGGGTGAAGAAGTACTTCCTTTTATCCATTCTAACCTGACCGCTCAGCAATTTCATCGAGTGCCCAAGAGTTCTTGTATTGTGAGAAAGGGAGAAAAGGACTTCTTTCTCTATCTGCTCTATCCCATACCAATGCATAATCTTGTAAACCTCTACCACGTCACCCCTTTGGGGATTTTGAACTTAGACTTCCCAGAGAGGAGGCTGATACTGACCCCTTAGACAAACACATAGCCCTCAGTCTGTATCATGGTGCCTTCTCATGTTCTTGACCAGCACAAGAAGTAACTTATGTACAAAAGGTTGCAATGCCCAGCCATTTCATGTTTTCCCCTGAGCCCCAGGCTCAGAACTCTGAGCATGAGATTTCTGTAGTGAATGTCAATAAATGAAAAGTAGGTTTGCGGTTTACAGATACACTCTCAAACAGTGTACTCAAGACTGCAACAGCACAGACAGTTTGATGCAATAATTCAGAGCAAGGGGAGTCAGTTTAATGAACAAAATATTGCACGAGTGCTAATGTTTTAAACATGTTTTTAAGTTCAAACGTAACTTTTTAACCAAGAGCCTGCAGCCGGTTGGAGGGGCGAGAAGGCCATCCTGGGGGGGGGCTTCTAAGGAGAGTGAGGCTGCAATGCTGGGCCCCTTCCCTCCTTCCCTCCTTCTCCCCCCTCCCGGCAAAAAGTCATGGCTCACCTCTGTCCATCCCCTCCATTTGCTTTCCCACCTGGTGCCCTCACCTGCTCCCTTCACCTCCGCACTGCTGCAGACAACGGCTCACTCAGCCACGCCCAGCAGCCCAGACGGCACTCGCTAATGAAGACCTGACTCAGCTCAGCATGGCTCGAGAGGGGAGGGGAGAAGGCAGCAGCAGCAGGCGGGACAGAGGTGTTTGGAGGGGTGGTGAGGATGACTGGGGAGGAGCGCCCGCAGCATTGGCGCAGAACTGACCAGGCGGCGCGGGGCTGCTTGCTTCTCTTTCTCCCCGTCAGGTGAGCCCAGAGGCAGTGGGAGACGACGATTCCTGCATGTCGTCAGCGCTGCTCTCGCCGTTGTCCTCACCCCGCTTGCTAGCCTCTGTGCCCCTCAGGTCTCCGCCCTTAGGCGGTTGCCTAACTTGGCCTTAATGGTTGCACCAGCTCTGCCTGCAGCCGCAGGGCACCCAGGCAAACCAAGGCCTAGTATGCTAATGGGCTGTGCCATCAGGGTGTGGCCTACTATGCTAATGAGTTTCTGCTATTGGGTGTGGCCTATTATGCTAATGAGTTCCTGCTGGGCTTTTTCTACCAAAAAAAGCCCTGCTCCTGGCAGTGGGATTCAGAGATCGACTGCCTGTGAGATGTGGAGGTTCCCTTTAGTCACCATGGTCAGTAGCCACCAAGAGACCCATCCTCAATGAATCTGGCTAATAAAATCTATAAAATTATAAAATCTTCTGTGCCTGCGTCTATCACTACATTGTCTGGCAACGAATTCTACATTTTAATCAGTTCCTGTGTAAAGAGGTATTTCCTTTGGGGATTCAGACAATAATCGGTCATCATTACTGCAAGAATGTCCGCTTTCCACCTGCCAAATGTTGGAAGACTTTATTGGCTGTAATCTGGTGCCAACAGGGTTTCCACCAGAGCAAGGAGAACAACCTGGCCTGCTCTTGCGCCTTAGCCATCATTTGATCTGCAGAGATCAGCAGGTTCAGTTTCCTTTGTGGCAGGAAGGAGCAGCAAGATCACAGGCTGCTGTCCACAAGCACAGGAACAAGACTCTGTGAATGCAGCTGGTGACCTTCCCCAGCCCTTCCTGTTCCCTATCAGGTTGTATCTCATGCTCAGCCCCCACAGCGGTTTTGCATGCAGAAACTCAGGTTCCTTGAAAGGTCAAAGAAACTCAGATGCAGAAATGTCACTTCACAGACTTCAGCTTCCTCAAGACGTTCTGGGAATCACTGCAACCGTCGCGGCCTTCGACAGTGTGGAAGAACAATCAGCTCTGACAGTTCCCAGAGAGCCCAATTTGGTTTCGGTGGGGTCCATTCTGCATTTGGAATTTGCTCCACATTTTCTCAGCACTCAACCTGTTTTCCCCTTGCCTCGGAATATCTGTTTTCATTCATTCACTCTGTTGTTTTACTAAACCCACACTGGAACAGAAAAAGATGGGGCTCAAAACCACATTCAAATACCCCAGGCCAACGCCGTACTGACTGCAGAGTCACCCCTGAAGGCCCATAAAATGGCCATAAATCTATGCAGACAGTACCATAAAACCGAGAGATCAAAGGAAGCGAAACCGGCATGCAGTGTGGGCTACCATAAAATCTGACAATCAAAGAAAGTGAAAGTGGCATGCAATGTAGAGAGGGATTTCTGTTCCAACGTGGGTTTGGTAAAACAGCGGAGCGAATGCTAGATGCAGAATGGGCCTACCCCTTCTGTTGCAGACTTTGAGGGACAATAACTCAAGAGTGCATCTTTCTCTGATGGGGTTACTACTTCTGGATTGGAAAATTCCTGGAGATTTGTGGGTGGGGCCTGGGGAGGGTTGGATTTAGGGAAGGGAGGGACCTCAGTGAGGTATAATGGCATCCCTGCCCTCCAAAGTTGTCATTTTCTGCAGGAAAACTGATCTCTGCAGTCCGGAGATCAGTTGTAATCAGTGTTCCCGCTAAGCTGTGTGTGTCACTGATTAACAAGGAAAGGCCACTCAGCAGCACTCAGCCCTTTGCCCATTTTAAGATTACTGCAGTTATATTATGCTCAGGATGTCAACTGCTCCACGCAGTAGGGGGAATAAATTAGAGGCAACATTGGTTATAATTCCAGGAGATCTCCAGGCCCCACCTGGAGGTTGGGAACCTTACTCTTTGGCCACTTTACTGGTTTCACAACCTGTTACATTATTTATTTTATTTATAAATTATATGTATGTGTGTGTACTCGATATGATGCAATCGAAACCATCGGACATATGGAGTGCCCTATATTCAATAAGTTGAGGGCTAATTTAGTCACCCCTTTACTTAAAGATATGGAACTGCTGAATGTGCGAGCCCAGGTGGCATGGCTACTATCAGATACCAATGATCGTGGTCACCCTCTCAGTGGCAAAATTCATAGGCACAATAATCAAGTACAAGAGAAATAATACTAACTTCTTTCTTTTTCTTTTTTTGGTTCTAATTTCTGCTTAAGGTGATAGCCATGTGAGGAGTACTAGATAGATGATAGATGATAGATAGATAGATAGATAGATAGATAGATAGATAGATAGATAGATAGATAGATAGATAGACAGACAGACAGACAGACAGGCAGGCAGGCAGGCAGGCAGGCAGGCAGGCAGGCAGGCAGGCAGGCATCCCAGAAAAAGAGGGTTGACAGACAGACATACGATAGATAGATAGATGATAGATAGATGAGATAGATGATAGATAGATAGATGATAGATAGATAGATAGATAGATAGATAGATAGATAGATAGATAGACAGACAGACAGACAGACAGACAGACAGACAGACAGATGATAGATAGATGAGATAGATGATAGATAGATAGATAGATAGATAGATAGATAGATAGATAGATAGATAGATAGATAGATAATAGACCGACCGACAGACAGATGATAGAGAGATAGATATTTTGTTTACTTATTTTATTTATATTTTATTTATGCATTAAACTTTTAGACTGCTCTCCCCTGTATACACAAGGCTCTGAATGGTAAGCAACAATAAAATGCATTCATAGATTAATAAAAACAATTCAGAAACAGTAAAATAATATACAACATTACCAGATGGTGCTAAAACCTTTGGATTGCACCACTGCCTCATGGGGGGTGTGAGAAAATGAGAGGGGAGTGCTACACTTGATCTTAGCCAAAAGGCCGAGAAGTAATACATAAGCAAAAATTTTTAACAAAAAGCACAGACTGAAGAGAATTTTAGACAAGACCTAGAATTTAGGGAATAGAATTATGATTTTAATAGGGGTCTGTGGCTGGTACTATGATGGTACTATTGTTTGTGAGTGTTGGTGATCGTACTTGTTTATTATTGTATTGTTTTACTGCACTGCTGGTCAATAACAATAAATTCGATGTGATTTGATTTGAGAGGGGAGTGCCAGATGAGACGGAAAGCCATCGCTGTCCCCAACCAAAAGCCTGGCAGAACATCTCTTGCAAGCCCTACAGAACTCACCAGAGAGTTCCACCAGCCGGATATCTTTCAGGCTGGCAATCAACAGTAGGTTTTTCTCTGCAGAGCATAGCACTCTCCAGGGGGTATACCAGAGGAGGCAGTCCCAAAGATACGTGGGTCCCTGACCGTTGTTCCCTCTAAGCTGAGTTAGTGTGAGCTAGCTCACAGATTTTTAGCCTCTAGCTCACACATTTTTTGTCTTAGCTCAGGAAGGACAGCTCCAGAGCAAACTAATTTATGCAGTAGCCAAATCGCTCACTCACAATTTTAGTGCCAGAAAGCGGAATTTCTTCTCCCAAGACTCCTCATCTTAGAGGGAGCATTGTCCCTGACCGTTTAGGGCGTAAAGATCAGTACCAGAACTTTGAACCTGTTATGGTACTCTACAATCAGTCGAGTGCACCCAAGTACTAAAGATCCCTGATAAAGGCATAAATAAACCCTTTTTAAAAATAAAATAGGCTGCCTGTCTTTTACCTATAAAGACAGCCTTGCTATAGTTATCACAAGGCGTAAACAAATAACTACAAAAGCTCTTCAAAGGCACCACCTTTTCTTGCGTTTTAACATGCCTTTCAGCCTTTTTGTGAAGAAGAAGAAGAAGAAGAAAGAAGAAGAAGAAGAGGAGGAGGAGGAGGAGGAGGAGGAG